CTTTATAAAAACTAGCAATTATTATTTTGACCACTATAGTATTTAGTTGTTTTCTTTCCTACCAACACCACATGACTTCAGTAATACCTAAACCTCATGACTAGTAAATACTATCCACTTGCTGACAACCCCCAAATTCATCTCCAGCCAGTATTTCTGGCCTCAATTCTTTTTTTTTTTAAAGTATTATTTTTCATTTTAGCTTTATTTCACTTATTTAGTTAAATTTGACCAGAGCGAGACAGAGAGAGAGAGAAAAAGCAAGCCACCAGGCCCGGGACTCGAACCTCATTTGGCCATGTGGGAGTCCAGTGCCCTTAACCACCATGCCACTTGCCAGCCTCCTGGCTTCAACTCTTATGTCAAGTATTATTTTTAATATTTTTTAAAGATTATTTTATGAGGGACCAGCAGTTAGTGTAATGGCTATGTCGCTGGACTCCCACGTAGTCAACCGCGGTTCGAGTCCCGGACCCAGTGGCTTAAACTCACGATGGGCGCGTGGGCGTGCGTGCCCAAGATCCCGAGAGGAGAATGGAGAAGGGATTGAGGCTGTCCCCTCTGGGAGGGGGTGATTTTTCACTTTCTATCTATCTCTCTGTCTCTGTCTGTCTGGCAAGCGCACGCGCCCTATAGCAAAAACTTCTCCAAAAAAAGAAAAAAAAAAAGATTATTTCATGAGTGAGAAACAGGATTCCCAACAGGGTCTTGATGCTGTAAACCCACCTCCATCCAGCTCTAGGACACAGGAACAAATGAGCCCCTCCTACTCAGGGAGTCCCCAGATGCAACCCAGGAACCTTCCCATGTAGTGCAGCCTTGCAGGGTGTGGCGTCAAACTGTCATCTCCACTGGATTTCTAATAGGCTTAACAAACTTGACATAATCAAAAGTGAACTTCTGACCCCACCCCCACCCCCATCTTCCCATCTCAGTAACTAGCAACTTGATTCCTCTGTTGCTCAGGCCAAAAACCTTGGACTTATTCTTGATTTTTCTTTTTCCTACATTCTACTCTCAATTCATTCAGAAATTTTGTCGACTCTCCCTTGAAAAATACCCAGAACCCAACCACTTCATTTTTTAAAGCTTGTTCATTCAGAAGTACCCTCAATAGGGTCTCACACTGCCACCCTCCCCACAGCCCTCTCTGCCAACCAGGATCATGGGCACACACCCACCACCCACAGGGTGTACATGTCAACCTGGGAACTGAACCCCTGACCTTTCATATGGATTCAGCATCACTGAATGGCATACAACCACTGTGTCACTACAGCTGGCCTTCCAACCGCTTAACACTTGCACTTCTACCATCATCTCTTGCCTGGATTACTACAATAGTCTAATTCATCTTGTTTCTTGATGTTCAAGCCAGCCTGTTCTCAACAGAGCAATTTAGATCATTCCATGCCTCAGCTCAAATCTCCGTGCTTTTCCTTGGCTTCAGAGTAAGTGCTAAAGCCCTCACCATGGTGATCCCTACCATCACCTATCTGACCTCCTTTCTTACTGCTCTTACTCTCACCACAGTGGTCTTCTGGCTATTTCTCAAACACATCAAAACACTCTTCTTGTCCCAAGGCTTTTGCATTTGAGGTTTTCTCAGGCAAGAATAGTTTATCAAGAGAACACAATAGTTCTCCATCAATTACTATTTTCAGGTTACTACAAACTACCCGTCCCTCTTTTAAGTTGGCTATAGGGCATGTGTGCTCATTGGAGAGACAGAGAAGGTAAGAGAGAAAAAGTGAGAACGCACCCCCGAGGGGATGACCACATCACAACCTGTTCTCCACTCTCCCCTCAGGATTTTGGGCATGCATACATATGCACCTGGTGTGTTCAAGCCGCCACATCTGAGTCTCAAACAGTGCAGTGGGCCAAGTGGGATCCAGTCACCTTAGCCAACACACCATGTAGCTGACCCATCCCCACTTTAATACCTCCCTTACTCTGCTCATCAAGGAGCCAGCAGAGCCTGTGTCCTGGTCAACAGTTGATCATCTTGTTATACCCTCACATGGCAGAATGCAGAGACTGGAAAAAGGAAGTAAGCTCTCCTTATAAGGATACTAATCCCATTCATCAGAGTTCCACATTCATGACCCAATTAACAAACAAAGGCCCCATTTCCTAATGTCACCACATAAAGGGTTAAGATTTTAACATATAAATTTTGGGGGAACACAAACAGTGGCATAAAGCAAGCTTATTTTTAATTTCACATTGTCAGTTCATTCTATTAAATGGTTATTCTGCCAATAAGTAATAATTTGATGCCATCAACTGTAATGATTAAAATGCTTTTCTTCAGTGACATTCTTATGGATAATATCTTAGGTCAGGCTGCCAGGAAAACAGACATGAGGCAGATTTGCATGCAGGCAGTTTGTTGGGAAGTGATGTTAAGAACCATAACTGTGAGAATGTGAAAAAAGCAGGACAGGAAGAGGTATTACAATGAATTACAATGAAGTTGCATGAGAGGCCTCATCCAAAAATCTATGGAGCTAGAAGTGTCCTTCATAGCTGTCCTAAATTGAGAAATAGGTTTTGGGGTCTTTCTACCCTGCAACAAGTTTCTGGATGTCAGCCAACCAAGGGAAGGAGTGAGCTTTGGGTGAGAGAGCTCCTTTCAGCTGAGGGCCATTTGGCTATGAGTGGCCAGAAATGACACTCCTGGCACCTGAGGAAACAAGCATCTTGGACCTGAAGTGAGCAATCTAAGCAGCTCATCTTAGCATGCAGTACAGTTAAGATACACAATATTGCCTGTCCCTTAACATTGTCTTTAAAAAAAATAAATGATGATTCCTGAGAATCCTAAGCTCACCTTCTGGGACTTCCCTGAGCATGCTGGGTGCTCAAGAGCATGTGCTGGAGAGCTTGGTCAAATGAGAATAGGGGTGGAGTGGATCACAGCATGAATGCTCTGGGGAGGGTGCCTGTCTTCCTGTTTCTCTCTCATAGAAGAAATAAATAAACTTTAAAACAAAACATGATTTTATGTCTGAGATTCATGATGCATGACAGATACTGAACAAGTTTTAAATAAAGCCTCATATATAGAGCTTCTACATGTGACCAGAAACACTATTTTCATTTATCTACTTCCTCAGTGACAAATTTGCTCCCCAACTGCCTGTTCATGAATCCCAGATGTACAACTGCTCTGTTGTCTTAGTCAATTTTGTGTGCTATAACACTATACACCACATTGGATAATTTATAAAAATATATTTAATTTTTACAGTTCCATAGGCTAGGAAGTCCAAGGTCACGGGGCTGCACCTGCTGAAGGCCTTCCTATTGTATCATAACATGGCAGAAGGCATGGTATGGCAGAGGTAAGCGTATAAGAGAAGTGAGCCAGAGGCAGTCCACCTTAATAACAAAGCCACTTTTGTGATAATGAACTCATTCCCATGAGGGCAACATTAATCCATTCATGAAGCCAGAGGGATTTAAGTTTCCCAACGAATGAACTTCTAGGTAACACATATAAACCACAGCACCAGGTATGACACTACAGATCTAAAAAATTCACATCTGATGATACACAATTTTTCTCAATACAATATTAAATCTAAAAGAAATTTTCCTAAGTGGAAGCAAAAGCTGATTCCAGAAGCCCCAATTGGAGCTAAATGAGTAACTTCTCTTTGCAGACTTCAGTCTTCTAAAGTTTGGTTTGTACATTGAAACTCTTCTCAAGGTCAACAATTACTCTAGATAACACTCAAATGATAGAAGTTGCACCTTTATTTGGTGTACGAACACTGTTTGGTGGGTATTACTTAATTGAATGTATATCCAATGAGCCTGAGATCCCTCAAACTGTGCTATGAAGTATCCCAAAGTCCTACATCTCATGCCCCAACCTACTAGTGACTTCTCACTCAACCTACCTGTAGCAACTATTCCATTCAGTACCTGTAGCATCTGCAGTCCTAGTGTGATTCTTTCTCCCTTGAGTATGTATAGTGTATCAAGTTATTCAGTTGTTTCATACATCCATATCTAAATATTCCTAATTAGATTAGATTTCTCCAAGATAGAAACTAAGTATTTATCCTTTTATATTCCTTATGAAAATTCCTCAGTAGATACTTAGTAAACATGTATTAATCATGTGGGAAGGAGAGAATAAAGGAGGGGAAAAAAGAAAAACCACAGTGGATGCTGTAAAGATGTACAATGATTAAATGTAAATAAGAAATCATAAAATAAAATTTTAAATGAAAAAAATAAACAATGAACAATGCTAGAGGCATGTATTTAATGTTGCATTTTCAGTACACAAAAACTTAATTGTACTATATTTTACAATGAAATGCATTACTATAACTTAAGCAATTCTATTAATTTTCAAAATTACATTTAATTACTATATATATTTTCAAAAGATGAACAAGCAAATGTCATAAAGTAATCTTTCACTTTGTGACAGTTGCTTGGTTGGTTATATTCTGAAAAAAGAATGACACATTTTCTCTTATTTTTTCAAGAAAAGGATCTGCAAGATTTAAGTAATCTCCACTGAAATGTTTCCATTGCTTCAGCTGTGACATAGAAAGAGGTTTCAAGGAGTTAGACTTCTGTTGATGTGGACCAAGCTGACACTGTCTAGAGATGGCCTTTTTTTCCAATGAATCACCTAAAACAAATAAGAAAATCCTTAGGCCAACTAATACACTACTGCATACTATTCTTTTTTGCTTTATAAAAATGACTTTATGTGATTTAATGCATTTGATCATCATAGTGCGTAAATAAGAAATCATAAAATAAAATTTTAAATGAAAAAAATAAACAATGAACAATGCTAGAGGCATGTATTTAATGTTGCATTTTCAGTACACAAAAACTTAATTGTACTATATTTTACAATGAAATGCATTACTATAACTTAAGCAATTCTATTAATTTTCAAAATTACATTTAATTACTATATATATTTTCAAAAGATGAACAAGCAAATGTCATAAAGTAATCTTTCACTTTGTGACAGTTGCTTGGTTGGTTATATTCTGAAAAAAGAATGACACATTTTCTCTTATTTTTTCAAGAAAAGGATCTGCAAGATTTAAGTAATCTCCACTGAAATGTTTCCATTGCTTCAGCTGTGACATAGAAAGAGGTTTCAAGGAGTTAGACTTCTGTTGATGTGGACCAAGCTGACACTGTCTAGAGATGGCCTTTTTTTCCAATGAATCACCTAAAACAAATAAGAAAATCCTTAGGCCAACTAATACACTACTGCATACTATTCTTTTTTGCTTTATAAAAATGACTTTATGTGATTTAATGCATTTGATCATCATAGTGCAAGTTAAAAATACATTCCATTGATTCATCTTTTCTATAAATATTTGTCAACTGTTTACTACGTACTGATTTCAGCACGGGGAGAAAAATGGTGAACACACATAGACATGCTTTCTGACTTCAAAGACCTTATGATCTTCTGGAAAATATATATATATATTAAATAAGCAATCATCCAAAGAAATGTATTACAGGCTCACAGGCCCTCATCTAAAATCTGTGGGACTATGTTTCCAAATTCAGAATATAACCGAAACAACCTGGATCACCATTCCATAATTAAACTCAATGTTCTTCTTTCAAAAAAAAAAAAAAAAAAAAAAAGGGACCAGCAGTTGGTGTAATAGATATGTTGCTGGACTCCCATGTAGTTGACTGTGGTTTGGGTCCTGGACCCGGTGGCTTAAACTCACACCGGGCATGAATGCATGCATGCCCAAGATCCCGAGACGAAAATGGAGGAGAAGGGATTGTGGCGTGGCCATCCTCCCTGGAGGGTGATTTCTCGTTTTTTGTCTCTGTCTCTGTCTTTCTGGGCAGTACATATACTCTACAGCAAAAACTTCTCAAAAAAAAAAAAAAGAAAAAGAAAAAAAGAAAAACAGCCCTCAATATTCTATAGCAAGTCATATGTATAGTTTTATGAAATAGTTTAAATAAAGACTACAGAAAAACTCACATTAATTGAGGTAAGCTTTCGCCACCAAATAATTTTGATACAAATTTATGAAGGGAAAAAAACCCTTCCTTCAGCCTTTTGTACTTCCTAGGTTTCAGAATTAAAGATAAAGGACTGTAAAGCTGCTTAGCAAACAGACAAAGGAATGAAGGAAAGACAGAGGGACTAGGCATGCAGTTGATCAGAGAAGGTGACCTGGTCTAGAAGGTAAAAGTAGATATAAGTTTTGTGTTTTCAATCTTTTCATTATGGAAAATTTCAAATAAATATAAAATTTGACAGGATAAAAATAAAAAACTTATATATACTTGTCTTCAATAACTATCAACTTAAAGCCAATCTTTTTTATTTAGATTATACTGCCTTATTATCTGGAAATAAATAACATACATCGTTTCACCTATGAATATTTTACTTTGCATTTCTGGATTTTATTTTTATTGCCAAAAGGCACGTGCATTTTCCAGAGAGACAGACAGAGAGACAGAGAGAAGGAAATGGGATGTGGTTATGCTGCAACTCCTTCTCCTCAATTTCTCCATTTCATTGGAATTTTGGGTGCACCTACACACACACACACACACACACACACACACACACACATGCCCGTGTTTTTCCAGCTCCCAGGGCAAGGAATTGAACTGTGGTTGGCCATGGAATCTGGAATCTTACTCCCTTAACCACTGCACTATGGGGCCGCCCCTTTACTATGCCTTTCTAAAAGGCAAAGGGTTCTTTTAAATTTTCTCTCTCTCTCTCTCTCTCTCTCTCTCTCCCCCTCTCTCTCTCCCGCTCTCTCTCACACACACATGCACACGCACACACACGCACACACACACACACACACACACACACACATCATTCCTTTAATATCATCAAGCTCCTGTCAGTGTTTAAAAGCACTGAGGTTTTTGGAAAAGATATGGCAAGATCACATTGAGAATCTCAAAGACAATAGAGCAATACCTTCAAAGTACTGAGTAAAAACGACCCTATCAAATAAATTGTATACCCAGTAAAGACAGCATTTAAGAAAGAGAAGACAAATACACTTGGAAAACATCAAAGATTGAGAAAGTTATGGGGAGAAAAGAAAAAGGCACCCTCCCTATGGGGACAGATAATACCACAATGCCTTCTTCATTTCCCCATCCACCAGGACTTTGGGCATGCCCATACATGTGCCCAGAATGTTTTTTGAGTGGCTGTGGATGAAATTTGAATTGACCTCAGCTAAGTTGGATCTGGTTCATTTAACACTAGGCAAATGGGCCAGGCCAAAAATATAGTTCTTAAACATGAAAAAAAAAAAATCCAACATCACTCAAAATAAGAGAAAAGTAAATTAAATATGCCAATATAGTAAATTATACCAATATATTATTCTTTTACTATCAGATGGGCAAAAAATCCAAACATTTGATGGTGGGGTGCAAATTGATACGACCTCCAGTAGAGGGCATCTTGGCAATATATATCAAAACTAATTATTTTCCTTATAAATATATTTGAATATATGAGAAAAGATATATGAATAAAAATGTTTACTGACGTCAGGAAAGAACTTAACTGGGGACAAATAAATTAACATCCATATAATGGAAGATTACATTGTTGAGGGAAAAAAAAAGAACAAGATAACTGCAATCATATAGAAAGATCTCGAGAAAAGATTATTGAGTGAAAAAGGCACATAGACCTTACACATGCAAGAAGTCTTCAAAAAGTTCATGGAAAATGCATACTCTGAAGAAACTATACCTGGATTTCAAAACTTTTGGCACCAAAATAAATTCATACTTTCATTCTATGTTCCCACAAATTTTTTGAAGTACCAACACATTACTCTTTTACTGAGATGAAAACTGGGTAAGAATCTTTATACAATGTTGCTTACTATGCATTTATATATATAGCTGCAACAAAACGAGTAGTGATGGCTTCCTATGGAGAAGAAGCTAGGAATTACACAGATGAGGTGGAATGGGAGGAAGACTTTTGCTATACACATTTTATATTTTCGAATAGTTGAATCATGTCAATATATTACAAATTCAAATGTTAAATTAGTGCATTTTAAAATCTGTAACATGAGAAAAAATGCATAACAGCAAATCTATTAAGACAGAAATGAAAACTAAGCAATTAAGAGAATACACATGACTTTCACAAAAGAAACATTTACTTATTTATTTATTTTTAGAGAGGTTTCTTTTTTTTAGTTATAGGGCACGTGCACTTGCCAGAAAGACAGAGAGACAGAAAGCAAGAAATCATCCCCCAGAGGGGATGGCCACACCACAATCCCTTCTCCTCCATTCTCCTTTCGGGATATTGGGCATGCACGCACACACACGCCTGGCATGAGTTTAACCCACTGAGTCCGGGATTCGAACCGCAGTCAGCTACATGAGAATCCAGCGACATAGCCATTATGCCAACTGTAACAATACAACATTTATAAACAATGCACAGAAGAGGATGAAGACGGCCAACTAGAAACATCCATCCTAGTGTCTCTCTGGGAATAAAAATAGGCTAAAATTTTTTGAAAAACTGAATAAATGGGGTCAACAAGTAGTGTGGTGGTAAGGTACTAGACTCACATGACTGACCACAGTTCAAGTCCTGGACCTGGCAACTTGCTTTCTCACTTTCCCTTTCTCTCTCTCTAGTGGGTATTTATGCCATAAAGCAAATTAAACATAATAATAATAAATTATTCAAAAATTTTTAAAAAATAAAAACTGAGTAAGTGCCTAATCTTCCAATAGGGTAGAGAGGTGAGACTGATAAAATACAAGAAAAAGATAGCAGGAACTTCTGCAAACATAAATTCTGCCTGTAAACGCACAGAATGAGTTAGTCATTTGAAGCCGGAGAGGCTCCAAAGGAACCCAACCCACCTCCCCTCTTCAGGAGAAGGCAAGATGAACTCTACTCTGAACACCACTGATTCCAGCACTTCCTACCTCAAGAAGAACAAAACTGGCACAGAGCTAAGATACGTCGAACCACACAAGCATGCAGTTTCAGAAAAAGACATCAGACCACCCACCCCACCCCACACCCCAGGCTGTAAGAGCACTACACCTTCCTGCAAGCCAACCAGCAGGTGGAACACTGTTTATGATCAAAACTCCACACCAGTGGGATCAGTGGATGCAAAAGGAACACCCCCATCAGAGGGATTTGGACACTTCTCCCCATCTGGCAGACAGGGCAGGCCTGCACTCTCCCTCCTGTCAGATTCAAGTCCTGGAGAGTGGCTACTTAACCTAACTGGTGCCACCCATGGCAACTCTTCTGGATCTCCCTGAACTTTAAATATAGGCAGAGGAAAAGGGAGAGACAACTGATAGAGGGGAAGTACCTGAGACGCCCCACCAGATCAAAGTGGGGAAGATAGGGCATTTTACACCTCCAGGTCAGAGTGGGATAGAGCACTACTCCAAGCACTTCCTAATCCTGGATGCACAATTTAGCCACTTTGTAGGAGACTCCTCAACTCCCATCAGCCTCCCTGAATCCCCCAGACTCTATAGATTGCAGACTCTGGTGAGGGCCTCACAGATAGGTTTGATTCTGGCCCCTTGTCAACGACCTTCTCAGGGTCACAGGCACAGAAGGCCACTATGCCTCCGAGTGTCCCACACAGGCCATGCAGGGCCCAGTTCTTATGTCTCACAGACTTGCCTCTGGCCCCTGTTAAACAATCCTGCAATAACTATATTCAGGTCCAGACTGTTACCTGCTGCTAGAAATCAGAAGCAGAGTAGATAAGCCCAGCTTGGATCTAAAAAACATGGCTAGCCTCTGGTCCTTCCTGAAATGCCTCGCGAGGCCTACACTCAGATCCTAAGGGCTACTCTGTTTCCCATTAAGTTCCTCCAATCACCTTCCCCAGGCCATATCCAGGGCCTTGGGAAAGGTATGACTCAGGTGTTACACACAGACCTCTCAGGACCTGTGTCTTAGGTCTCCCAGACAGGCTTGCTTCTAGGCCCTCCTGGACCACTTTGCCAGGCCAGGGCTTCATGTGGGTCTATAGAGTCAATCAATCTCCAGATCTCATGTGCAGGCTACACAAGTCCTGCTCTGATCTGAAAGATGCAGCTAGCTTCCAGTCCCTCCTGGACCACTTTGCTCAGGGGACACCTAGGACTCAAGGCTATCTCCCCCTCCTGGCCTTACGGAATCTACTCCAAAAGTTAGGAAAAAATGACTACTCCACCAGATGCCTAAAAAAGCAAAACAGACACAAGAAATGTTAAAAATAAGAAAATATCTCCCAAAAAAATACAGTAACTCTTCACCAATAATGGATAAAATACAGAAATGGTGGCGGGGGCGGGGGGTGTGTGTGAGTATTTATTGAGTATAACAAAACTCAATAAGATGCAAGAGAAAACAGACGATCAATTCCAGATGAGAAAATCATTCCATGACATGAAGGAAGAACTCTAAAAAGAGACAGACACTTTTAAAAAGATTCAAACAGAACTTCTGGAGATGAAGAATACAAGAAACCAAAATATTTTTCAAAAGTATTAATAACACATTAGACCACACAGAAGACAGATTCTCTGAGCCTGAAGACAAAACATTTGATTTAGCCCAAGTCATCAATGAAAAAATAACCCTTAAAAATGAGGACAACATATGAGAAATTTTAGATACGATTAACTGGCCAAAAATTCGCATAATGGGTATTCCAGAGGGTAAAAAGTCAGGCAAAGACATAGAAAATCTCTTTCATGGTATCGGCAGATAGAACAATGGTTATGTCACTAGACTCCTATGTAGTCAACCACGGTTCGAGTCCTGGACCTGGCAGCTTAAAACTCATCCCATGCTGGGGCCGGCAGGTAGCTTGGTGATTGAGGCACTGGATTCCCACATTGCTGACCATGGTTCAAGTTCCAAATCTGGAGACCTGATTTCTCGCTTTCTCTCTCTCTCTCTGATCAAGGTAAAATTAATAAGTAAAATTAAATAATTATTTTTTAAAAATCACACCAGGGGGAACCGGCAGTTAGCGTAATGGCTATGTTGCTGGACTCCCACGTAGTCGACCGCGGTTCGTGTCCCGGACCCGGTGGCTTAAAACTCACGCCAGGCGCGTGTGCGTGCGTGCCCAAGATCCTGAGAGGAGAATGGAGGAGAAGGGATTGCGGCGTGACCATCCCCCCTGGGGGGTGATTTCTCGCTTTCTGTCTCTATGTCTCTCTCTGTCTGTCTAGCGAGCGCACGCGTCCTACAGTGAAAATCTCTCCAAAAAAAAAAAAAAATCACACCAGGCACATGTGTATGCATATTTAAGATCTCAGGTGGAGAATGAAGAAGGGATTGCAGCATGGCTATCCCCCCTGGGAGGTAATTTCTTGTTTTCTGTCTCTCCAGTGAATGCATGTGCCTTATAGCAAAAATCTCTTTAAAAAAAATCTCTTTTCATGAAATACTAACTGAAAACGTTCCCAATATAACAAGATATCCAGACATCCAAACGCAGAACATACCAAGAACATCAAACAGGTTTAACATAAGTAGCTCCTCTTCAAAGAACATAATAGCCAAACTGGCAAAATCAAACACAATATTCTAGAAATGTCCAGTTACTTACAAATGATGCCCCATCAGACTCATCTAGACCTCTCAACAGAAATAATGCAAGCAAGGAAAGAATGAGAAGACATATTCAAAATGCAGAAAAATAATTTTAGCTAAGAATACTATATGAGTAAGATTACCCTTCAGATGGGAAGAAATAAAATCATTCCCAGATAAACAAAAATTGAAAGAATTCACCAACATTAAACCAGCTCTTCAAGAAATACTTAAGAGAATAAAACTATAACAGGAAAATGAAAGGGAGACAAATAGAAATGAGAGTCATGACACATATCAGACAAAACAGACTTCTGCTTTATCTGAAGTTTAATGTTTATCCACTAAAACACCAGTCAAATGGGCCAACAGATGGCGTGGAGATTAAGGTGGCTGTGTCCTACATTCCTGGTTGCAAAGTTCAAGTCCTGGAACCGGAGGCTTAAAAAACACACCGAGGGGTGGGGGTGGGGCAATAAGTCGCATGGTGGTTAAGGACACTGGACTCTCACATGGCCTACCACGGTTCGAGTTCCAGACCTAGTGGCTTGCTTTCTCACTTTCTCTTTCTCTCTCTCTCTGTCTCTCTCTACCCTCCACCCCCACCCCCACACCACCTCTCTGGTCAATTAAAAATAAATAAATAAAGTTAAATAAAATAATTATTTGAAAACACACATACACACACATACCAGGCTCATGTGGGTGAGGGTGCCCAAAATCTCAAAAGGAGAAATGGAGAAGGGAATATGGGTGTGATCATCCCCTGAGAGGGGAGCTTTCTAACTTTCCCTCTTTCTCTCTGTCTCTCTCTGGTGAGTACACATGCCTTCTGGCATTTTTTTTTTTTTAATTTATCCACTAAAAAACTGCATAAGATATAAATTTTATATAAAATACATTCAATGCTCTTTTAAGTTTTTTTTGGTTCTTTCTCTCTCTCTGAAAGAGAAAGAAAGGCATTCTCAACAGAGTCTCACACTGAGATCCTCCCAAAACCATTCCCAGCCAGCTATGATGCTGGGCATGAACACATGACTCATTATGTACGAGGGCAATTTGGGAATCGCACCCTAATCTTCCATGTGGCCTACAGCATTGCAGAATAGTGTGTGACAGCCACACCACTATCACTGGGTCTTTATGAAATATATTTTAAATGTTTATATAAAATTTTCCAGTCTCACAAGGTCTAACTTAAGACTACCTCAATAAAATCTTTCAGGTAACTTTCAACTACGGAACACTGTTTGCTCAAGTCCTACTCCTGGTTTAGTTCCTTTTGTCTAGATGAAATTCTGGAGAGTTGACATTTTCAGCTTAACTTCTGAAGCATTAATAGTTTGTCAAACAATGAGAAGTGGGCCAGCTCCCTGGCACAGGAGTCATGCACTACTCAAGACGAGCTGGATCCCGTATGGCTGCTGAAATTAATCCCAGCCCAGCAGTCCCAAAATACACACAGGCCTGCATTTGAGTGCTCAAAATCCAGTGAGCCGAAGGACTCTAGAAAGAAGATCATGGCATGAGCAGACCCTGTAGCGGGTACTCATCTCTTTCTGTGCACGTGTGTATGTGTGTGTGTGTGTGTGTGTGCATGCACACATGCTGTATCATGACTAAAGGGAGAAAACAGAAGTATGATGGTCCATGCGGAATCCCTCAGGAAGTATGACCTCTGTTACGACTAAATTCTACATAATATGAACAAATAGTAGGAGTACTCTGTCAAATGTATGGTTTGGTTTTTTGTTTTTTTTTTTGGAGAGATTTTCACTGTAGGACGCGTGCGCTCGCCAGACAGACAGAGAGAGACATAGACAGAAAGTGAGCAATCACCCCCCAGGGGGGATGGTCACGCCGCAATCCCTTCTCCTCCATTCTCCTCTCGGGATCTTGGGCACGCACACACACGCGCCCGGCGTGAGTTTTAAGCCACCGGGTCCAGGACACGAACCGCGGTCGACTACGTGGGAGTCCAGCGACATAGCCATTAAGCTAACTGTTGGTTCCCTCAAATGTATGTTTTTTTGTGAAATAAAAATGAACATTTTCTGACTCAGCAAAGGACAAGTAACGGCTACCACCAGTTTGGATCCCTGATGTGGTCAACCTGAAGCATGCAAGTTTTTGTCCGTGCCCGAGGTCTCAACAAGCTGGAAGGCTGGAGGAAGGGGCTGACTGCTTGAAAAGGCCCTGTTGAGGCTGCTCCTTTCTCTCTGTATCTCTCATTCCACGTGCATGCTCATACTCTTTATTATGAATAAAATAAGTAAACTTCAGAAAGAAATATTTTTCCCTAACTCTGAAGACATTATTCTGGGATGTGAAAGATTTTCTTAAATAAGTTAAAGATGTTTTATAACCAATTCAAAGACAAAGCTAAACTGAGAGAATAAGGTTTTACCAAATATCCATCTGGCAATTACCCTGAGGTCTGAAAAACAATGAAAACTAACCTATGCAAATGGTAAATGCTGTAGTTATTTTTTATTTAAATATTTCCAATTACTAATGAAAGACAAATTAATATCACTATGATAGCAATAGAATTAAAATATAAAACAGTAATAAAATTAAAACTAACCTATATGATCTTTTTCTCCTATACACTCACACTCAAGCAGGTCATGAGTAACACAATGTGAATGTTCATGTAATGTGAACAAATTTTTAAGTTCCTCCACAGAAAACTGAATATGTTCAGATGTCTTGGTTAGGTCTACAACTGCCCCAGAAAGACCTTGTTTACTGATCTGCCTTTGATAGATCTTTTCTTCTATGGTACCTAGAGAGAAAACATAAATTAGATTTCCTTCAGATCTTTATATCTATTATTTCTATAGGGTAAAACATGTTTTTTAACATATTAGTTGACAGAATAACAATATATTCTCGATCTTAAAAGCACAGATGAACAAAAAAAATCTTTATTTGATTATTCAAATGATATACATTTTTGGTCATACTGAAGGATTATTACCTGTGGTTAAAAGTCTGTAAATGTGTACAGGGTGTTTCTGACCATCTCTCCATACTCTAGACATTGCCTACAAAAAATAAGTGAGAATTCTGAGAGTACAGTAAAAACCAATGACCCCTTCCATAATTTGCAGAAATATATTTTAAGAATTTTAAATTTTACTCATAACTTTAAAAAACAAAGCTGAGGCATATCCAAGTATGTCCCACTTCATATGTTTTTCCAGGGATAAAGAAATGGTTGGGGGACCAGCAGTTAGCATAATGGCTATGTCGCTGGATTCCCATGTTGTCAACCGCAGTTCAAGTCCCGGACCCAGTGGTTTAAACTCACGTCGGGCTCATGTCCAAGATCCAAGAGAGAAGAATGGAGGAGAGGGGATTGCGGCGTGGCCATCCCCCCTGGGGGTTGATTTCTCACTTTCTGTCTCTCTGTCTTTCTGGTGAGCACACGTGCCCTATACAAAACCCTCTCAAAAAAAAAAAAAAAAAAGAAAGGGTTGAATGTACACATTATACCATTCAATAGCTGTAGGAGTACTGCACAACAGTGTGAGGACATATCTACATCACAGAATGGAACAGCACATTTGGACAGAAAAAATAGTGAGCCAAGTGTAGCATGAGCATGAAGGGTTCATTCCCAGTCTAAGTACCTAACAATTCATCCCTGAGAGGTCTCTAGCACTTTGTTCAGGTAAGTCCCTAACAAATAGTTCAAGCTCTATATACCTCCCTGTGGTTTAAGGATTTATCCTGTACAGTGAAGGTTTGACGTTCAAATCCTGCACTTTCAAAAAAAAGTCTGACCTTCAACCAGCTCCAAAGAAATAATCTCTAAGGCCTTGGAATATTCTAATATTAAATATCAGATATTTAATTCTAACAATGTGATATAGGCGGAAGCCTTGGGCCATGCCATACTAATTTGGCCTCTACAGAGGCTGGGGACTAACTGAAGTCAGTTATGCCGGTGCTCCATGCCTTTGGTACAGACCCCAACAAAAACCCTGGAAACCAAGGCTTAGATAAACTTTCCTGGCTAACAATATTCCATGCATGCTGTCACCCACTAATGCTGGGAGAATTAAGAGCTGCCTATATATCTTCACCAGGAGAGGACAGCTGATAGCTTGTGTTGGTCTCTCCTAAAGTCTGCCCTATGCACCTTTTTCCTTTGCTGATTATATCCTTTACTATAATATAACTGTGAGAAGAGCTGTTTTTCTCAGTTCTGGGAGTTCCAGTGAATCACTGACCTTGAGGACTGTCCTGGGATCCCCCTAATGCAGATACCATGTGAGGTACAAATCTATAGCTAAAAATCTTAATACACAGTCATGTGTGACACAATAACATTTAGGTTAACAACAGACTACACATACAACAGTAGTCCCCTAAGATTATACTAGGCTATAACATAGAATAGATGCATTTCTCAGAATATATCCCTGTCATTAAGTGATGTGTGACTATACATGAAGAGAGACTACTCTGAAAAACAAAAAACAAAAACAAAAACAAAAACAAAAACAAAGACTTCCTCTCAAATATTTTCCTAAATAAGTTAATTTTAGGGCCAGCTGGTGGCATAGTGATTAAGGTAGCTGGATCCCACATGGCTGACTAGGCAGTTGGGGTCCCATACCTGGCAGCTTGAAAGACACATCAGGCATGTGTGCGTGTGTGCCCAGAATCCTGAAAGAACAGAAGAGAAGGAACTGTGGCACGGCTACACCCACTGGGGGGGTGCTTTCCCACTTTCCTTTTCTCTCTCTCTCTCTCTCTCTCTCTCTCTCTCTCTAGTGAGTACACGCATTCTATAGCAATGTTTTTCATTTATTTTATACTCTTACTGTAGCCTACACAAACACTAATCATAGCACCCATAATACTTTACTATCTTTCCTGATAAGCATCAGTATCCTGGCTCTGCTTCGTAAAAGGTACGGAACTAAGAAGACTTCATATCATCATCAGTAAAATAGGGCTATCTATAAATGGGGATATTGTGGAGAATATAAAGCTGGAAAGTATTTAGCAGAATGCCTGACACAAAATAAGGGCTCAATATGCAGCAGCATATTCACACATCATCATCTTTGTGCCCACAGCAGACACTGCAACCACAGGCATTCAACAATGTCTATTTAATGTGTAACTATTTCTACCTGGATATCGGTGGCCGGATTCCAATCAATATCATAGAGAATTAAGTGAGATCCTCCAATAAGGTTAAGTCCTACACCACCAGCTTTTGAACTTAACAAGAAAATAAAATCAGAAGAGTATTTATTATTGAAGCCATCAACAATTTGCTGTCTTTGAGAGATTGGTGTTTGTCCATCAAGTCTTACATATGCATATTCATGGCGTGTGCATACTTCTTGTAAAATATTCAAGGTTTGTGTATAGTTGGATACCAACACCACCCTGCAAATCAAAAAGAAAGACTGTGTATAATTTAAAGGCAATTGTTAGATTTTTTTAGTTGAAAAAATATTACCAGAATAATATTATCACTTATTTATAGAGCATGCAACAATGACCTTGTACAATTAAAACACAGGTACTCTACATTAAAACACATATCTAAATGTCCAGTTTTACGACAGTAAAGGCCTTTTTGCCTTCTTCATCTCTTTGAAGTCACCCCTAAAATCAGAGGAGAAGCAAAACCAAAAAATGAACAAAAATACAAACTCTATCTTGAATTAAAAAAATAATAATTATATGAAAACAAGAGAGTAATGACAAAGTAACCTCCTTAGAGGTACAAAGAAGGTACAATTTAAGTGTCCAAAGAGAACCATTCCCATGAGAAACAAGAGCACATTCATTCGCCCCATAGAATCATGCAGACACACCTTGGAAGGAAGGAAAATAGACTTCAGCCATTACAAGCACACTGACACATAAATCCAGGCCCTATCCTGATCTGACCAGTTGACTTTTTCAAATTCACTGGAGAAAGTGAACCAAAGAAACTTAGACGAGAGGACTTTAGAAGGCAGGATAGAGAGATAAATCAAAATGAAAGTCTAGATACTTAATGATAAGACTCCAGACCTCATTTCCTAAAAACTTGTAAAACACCAGCAGCCAGGTACCCTCTCACAGCCTAAGAAGCCTTTTATTGAATGATTCACCTATGGAATAACTTGAATGATCCCAGAGAAAAGACACACAGATAGGATCTCCAAATAAAATAGCCAACTCACTGTCCGATTACCTGACAAAGACTACCAGTCAAAAAGCTTTGCCTCTGCATATGAAAGTGTATATAAAACTATAAAAAATTAATGTTTTACTCCTTCACTCTTAAATATGGACACTGGGGTCACCAGGTATTTGAGGTTAGCCTCTAACATGAAAAGGAGAAATGAAAACAAACACACAGGAAACAAGAAACTTGAAAAACCCGGAATGACAGAAAAAGCAAAAGACAACTTTAAGAAAATAATATCCTTAAATAAGAGCATTCAAGAGAAAAAGATGCAACAAAGAAGGAACAATTTGTGTATATCAACCAAGTTCTGCCTGCCTTCCCTACTCTTTCCTTCCCAATTCCCAGCTCCTAGTAACCCCTATTTTACTTTCCACTTGTATATAATCAAATCTTTTAGCCTCCCTCAAATGAGTAAGAATTGTGCAGTATTTGTCTTTCAGTGTCTGACTTATTTTAGTTGGCATAAATTCCTTCTGATTCATTCATGTTGCCTCAAATGACAGGATTTCATGAGTTCTGGAGTACAGAAGGATAGAAAAGTAACTCTAGTTAATAAGAATTTAATGTACATTTCAAAATAGCTAGCAGGATGTCAAATGTTCACACAGAAAATAATAATAAACATTTGAGATGATGAATATGTTTATCATCCTAATTAACCATTACACATTGTATGTGGGTATAAAAAAAAATCACACTGCATTCCATTAATACCTATAACTATTCTATATTAATTTAAAATTATAAAAAAACTTTAAAAAAACTATTAAGAATAAAAAAGAATCTAAAATGATAACCAAAATAAAATCTTAATAGGACAGGTGAAAGATTGTAACAAGAGAGCCTGCCAGAAAATTTATTTAAAAGAAAAAGTGGCAACCAATAGGAGAGAAAAGAAAAAAAAAAAAATTAAAGGATCAGCTCATGAGGTTCAACATACCCACTGGGGGGGTGCTTTCCCACTTTCTTTTTCTCTCTCTCTCTCTCTCTCTCTCTCTCTCTCTAGTGAGTACACGCATTCTATAGCAATGTTTTTCATTTATTTTATACTCTTACTGTAGCCTACACAAACACTAATCATAGCACCCATAATACTTTACTATCTTTCCTGATAAGCATCAGTATCCTGGCTCTGCTTCGTAAAAGGTACGGAACTAAGAAGACTTCATATCATCATCAGTAAAATAGGGCTATCTATAAATGGGGATATTGTGGAGAATATAAAGCTGGAAAGTATTTAGCAGAATGCCTGACACAAAATAAGGGCTCAATATGCAGCAGCATATTCACACATCATCATCTTTGTGCCCACAGCAGACACTGCAACCACAGGCATTCAACAATGTCTATTTAATGTGTAACTATTTCTACCTGGATATCGGTGGCCGGATTCCAATCAATATCATAGAGAATTAAGTGAGATCCTCCAATAAGGTTAAGTCCTACACCACCAGCTTTTGAACTTAACAAGAAAATAAAATCAGAAGAGTATTTATTATTGAAGCCATCAACAATTTGCTGTCTTTGAGAGATTGGTGTTTGTCCATCAAGTCTTACATATGCATATTCATGGCGTGTGCATACTTCTTGTAAAATATTCAAGGTTTGTGTATAGTTGGATACCAACACCACCCTGCAAATCAAAAAGAAAGACTGTGTATAATTTAAAGGCAATTGTTAGATTTTTTTAGTTGAAAAAATATTACCAGAATAATATTATCACTTATTTATAGAGCATGCAACAATGACCTTGTACAATTAAAACACAGGTACTCTACATTAAAACACATATCTAAATGTCCAGTTTTACGACAGTAAAGGCCTTTTTGCCTTCTTCATCTCTTTGAAGTCACCCCTAAAATCAGAGGAGAAGCAAAACCAAAAAATGAACAAAAATACAAACTCTATCTTGAATTAAAAAAATAATAATTATATGAAAACAAGAGAGTAATGACAAAGTAACCTCCTTAGAGGTACAAAGAAGGTACAATTTAAGTGTCCAAAGAGAACCATTCCCATGAGAAACAAGAGCACATTCATTCGCCCCATAGAATCATGCAGACACACCTTGGAAGGAAGGAAAATAGACTTCAGCCATTACAAGCACACTGACACATAAATCCAGGCCCTATCCTGATCTGACCAGTTGACTTTTTCAAATTCACTGGAGAAAGTGAACCAAAGAAACTTAGACGAGAGGACTTTAGAAGGCAGGATAGAGAGATAAATCAAAATGAAAGTCTAGATACTTAATGATAAGACTCCAGACCTCATTTCCTAAAAACTTGTAAAACACCAGCAGCCAGGTACCCTCTCACAGCCTAAGAAGCCTTTTATTGAATGATTCACCTATGGAATAACTTGAATGATCCCAGAGAAAAGACACACAGATAGGATCTCCAAATAAAATAGCCAACTCACTGTCCGATTACCTGACAAAGACTACCAGTCAAAAAGCTTTGCCTCTGCATATGAAAGTGTATATAAAACTATAAAAAATTAATGTTTTACTCCTTCACTCTTAAATATGGACACTGGGGTCACCAGGTATTTGAGGTTAGCCTCTAACATGAAAAGGAGAAATGAAAACAAACACACAGGAAACAAGAAACTTGAAAAACCCGGAATGACAGAAAAAGCAAAAGACAACTTTAAGAAAATAATATCCTTAAATAAGAGCATTCAAGAGAAAAAGATGCAACAAAGAAGGAACAATTTGTGTATATCAACCAAGTTCTGCCTGCCTTCCCTACTCTTTCCTTCCCAATTCCCAGCTCCTAGTAACCCCTATTTTACTTTCCACTTGTATATAATCAAATCTTTTAGCCTCCCTCAAATGAGTAAGAATTGTGCAGTATTTGTCTTTCAGTGTCTGACTTATTTTAGTTGGCATAAATTCCTTCTGATTCATTCATGTTGCCTCAAATGACAGGATTTCATGAGTTCTGGAGTACAGAAGGATAGAAAAGTAACTCTAGTTAATAAGAATTTAATGTACATTTCAAAATAGCTAGCAGGATGTCAAATGTTCACACAGAAAATAATAATAAACATTTGAGATGATGAATATGTTTATCATCCTAATTAACCATTACACATTGTATGTGGGTATAAAAAAAAATCACACTGCATTCCATTAATACCTATAACTATTCTATATTAATTTAAAATTATAAAAAAACTTTAAAAAAACTATTAAGAATAAAAAAGAATCTAAAATGATAACCAAAATAAAATCTTAATAGGACAGGTGAAAGATTGTAACAAGAGAGCCTGCCAGAAAATTTATTTAAAAGAAAAAGTGGCAACCAATAGGAGAGAAAAGAAAAAAAAAAAAATTAAAGGATCAGCTCATGAGGTTCAACATCTAGCAAAAAAGAAATAAATTGTTTTGAGAGAGAATGAGAATGTAAGAGTACCTCAAAAAGTCTGTGGAAAAACAGATTTAAAGTATAAATTTATTTTGGTACAAAAAATTTTGAAATCCATGTATGAGTTTTATGTATGAGTTTTTTTATGTACTTTTTAAAAAAGAATCGTTTTATTCAACTTTATTTATTTATTTATTTTAATTTGATCAGGGATGGACAGAGTGAGAGAGAGGGAAAGTGAGAAAGCAAGCCGCCATGTCTGGGACTCAAACTGCGGTCAGCCATGTGGGAGTCCAGTGCTCTTAACCACCACGCCGCTCGATGGACCCATAATATGCACTTTTTTGAGGGCCCATCGTACTTCTCAGATAAGGGAGGGGGGTCTTTAAAGTAAAAGTACCTACTAAAAAGTTTTCAGTTCAATAAGCCAAACAATGACTCATATTAAAACACATCAAAATAACTGAAAGTATAAGGAATGAAGAAAGTTGCTAGATATATATTTATATTACATTTTAGTTTTTCTTAAATAAAAACTTACAGAGGGGCCAGCCAGCAGCATAGTGGTTAAAGCAGCTGGATCCCACATGGCTGACAGTACAGTTTAAGTTCCAGGTCTGACAGCATAAAAATCACACTGGGTATATGTGTATGCATGTCCAAAATCCTGAGAAAATAATAGAGGAGAAGGCATGGCCATTCTCCCTTGAGAGTGATTTCTCACTTTCCCTCTGTCTCTTTCTGGCAAGTTCATATACTCTATAGCCAACTAAAAAAATAATAATAATTTACAGACACGTCATTAATTTGTAAGTTTACAAAATACTGAAAGCTGACCACACCCACAAAGAAGAAATGAACCTATTTTCAATGTTTTCTTATTTAAAAAGAGAACAGAAGGAAATACGATTATAGTGCCTGCTAAATTCTGTGAGCACTTATACACAATTTATTAAAATGATCTCTTACTTTTCAGTAGGACGAAGTTCATGAATAACTGCTAAGAGCTTTGACAACACCTGTAGTTTTCCTGACTCCTCCTCAGTGAAGAGCAGGGGGTTGTAATCAGAAAAACTCAGCAAGCCTTCATATAATCGCCTTTCTTCATTTTCATCACAAGTTGAGCAACGTTCTTTTTCCTATTCAAAATGGTAACTGTTAACATCAACTCATCTTTATTTTAAAATGGGAAAAAAATTATGGGGGAAAGGGAATAAAGATTAATGGGGACCTGAAAAGTTCAACCTGTTAGGTAAATCTTTATAGGTCACAATTTGATTACTTGCATCCTACTGAATTAATTACAGTTATTCCAATGCAGCCTCCGAATGCCAGCTACCTTCACCCTATGACAGCAGTATTTCCTGTATGAAACTATGGGAGTTGGGGGATAACTAAGTAGAAGAAAATAAAGGGCGGACAGTGATACAAAAATCTGTCCTCTTCAAAACCTGACATTTCCCATCAATGACACCTGTCTGGCTCTTTCAGTCTCCCTCATTCTCTCCCTATTATTTTCCTCTCTAGCTTTGTGAGCTTCATATACCACCTCTCAAGTGATGCTTTTTTTTTAAAAGAATTATTTTATTTAACTTTATTTATTTACTTAGTTTTTTTTTAATTTGATCAGAGAAAGGGAGAGAGAGAAAGAAAGAAAGCCACCAGGTCTGGGACTCAAACTATGGTCAGCCATATGAGAGTCCACCATCCTTAACCACCCAGATCTGGCGGTTCGCTTTTTCACTCTCTCCCTCTCTTTCTCCCTCCCTCTCACTCTGTCCCTCTCTGATCAAATTAAAATTAAATAAATAAATAAAGTTAAATAAAATGATTCTTTAAAAGAAACAAAGAAACATTAAAAAAAACTTCTCAGACCTGGGTACTATTATCAAAGACTGGGGAACCAGCAGTTAGCGTAATGACTATGTCACTGGACTCCCCTGTAGTCGACCACGGTTCACGTCCCGGACCCGGTGGCTTAAAACTCACGCCAGGCGCGTGTGCGTGCGTGCCCAGGATCCCGAGAGGAGAATGGAGGAGAAGGGATTGCGGCGTGACCATCCCCCCTGGGGGGTGATTTCTCGCTTTCTGTCTCTATGTCTCTGTCTGGCAAGCGCACGCGCCCTTATAGTGAAAATCTCTCCAAAAAAAAAAAAAAAAAAGACTGAATCAGTACAAGTATCTTTAGGACTAGACAAATGTAATTTTAAAAGCTTACCAAAACAGTATAATATGTATATATTACCAGCTGATGGAAAATATCTTTATGCTGTGACAGCCCATTGTGTCACCTCCATAATAGTGATTTACCAGTCAGACTCCATATTTGCTAATTGGGACACTCTGACTCCACGGAATTCCAGTACCTTTTGGTTATGAGCTATGGTTACATTTCTTTCTCCCTTCCTGAAGAGAGTCTCATCAGCTTGACTAAACCTGGAAAATGACCTAGTTTCAATAAGAACACATGCATAAAACATTACTTAAAGGTTATTCATACATGTGGCAGGCTCATTTCAGCCTAGTCATATCGATCCTTATTTGCTATGTCAGAGGAAAGGCTTTTTCTGAGTAAGTTTCAGATTTAAATTATCCGCCCTATTTGAAGCTTGCTGTATCTTATGTCTATTACTAGTGACCACAGGGCAACAACAGAAGAATGCTCAGAGCCCCTTGCTGCTTTCTTCAAGAAGCTGCTAGGATTGGGTTGCTGGGAAAGTCATGACGCGTTTTTGCATAGAAAAACACTGACTTTAAATCATGACTTTCCCGATGAGCTAATATATTCTAAATTAACTGGCACACTCTGGGCCATTGTAAGGCCTTCCTTTTAAGGAAGAATTTTTAGTTTCTATTTTTTCTGGGCTTCATGCCCAAAGAGTTTAGTTTTTAATCACTGTATATAGTATCTGTTTCTTTCAAAGTTCCTTAATAAATTGTTATAATCCTGCCTACTGCAGAGTTACACAAAGCTGACTCTCCTATGATAAACTAAGTAACTATAATTCATCTTAGAATAAACTTGGACAATTCCGGTAGGACGCCCCATTTTCTAAGTATATAATGTATAACTTCAAGGATAATGTAGTGTTCAGTTTTTCTATTTTGAGGTTTTACATTTTTTTTCAGAGTTACTATTTGGCAAATTATGACTTTACCGTTTAAAGAAATAAAAAAAGAGTAAAAGTTGTTCAGGGTGAGTTGGGAATAACACAGTTGTAACAGTTACTGTGCACTTTCTATGGCCAAGCTAGGTTCTGTCCATAATTTCTCAACAAACTGTCACAATAACATTATCAGGACCTTATGTTTGTTTTTCTGATAAGAAAACTAAGGTTTATAGATATAATTTGACAGTGGTTAAAGTTGTCCATAGCTGAAGAACCAGTAAGTAGTAGAGTAAGGACTGATACTTCTAACTACAAAATGGAAAACTTTTAGGTATTTTTTGGAGAGGTTTTTGCTATAGGGCACATGCACTTTCCAGAAAGAGAGAAACAGAGAAACAGAGAGACAGAAAGCAAGAAATCACCCCCCCAGGGAGGATGGCCACGTCGCAATCCCCTCTCTTCCATTCTCCTCTCAGGATCTTGGCCACACACCCAGCGTGCGCTTAAGCCACCAGGTCCTGGACTCGAACCGCGTTCAACTACATGGGAGTCCAGCAACATAGCCACTACACTAATTGCTGGTCCCCAAAATAGAAAACTCTTAAAGAAAAAGACACTACATTCTTAAATATACAAATAATCAGCTCAACTATATAGTCATTAAAAATCATATTTTGGGGCCAACAGGTAGTGTGGTAGTAAAGGCACTGGATTCCCACATAGTTGATGATGGTTTAAGTCCCAGACCCAGTGGCTTGAAATTCATACAGGGCATGTAAGCATGTGTGTCCAAAAATCCCAAGGAGAGAATAGAGAAGAGACTGCAGCGTGGCCATTCCCCCTGGGGAAGGGAGGGGGTTCTCACTTTCCATCTCTCTGTCTCTCTCTGGTGAATGCATGCACCCTGTAGAAAAATTCTTTTTTTTTTTTTTTTAAAAAAAAGAGGGCCCAGCAGTTAGCATAATGGCTATGTTGCTGAACTCCCATGTAGTTGACTGCGGTTTGAGTCCCGGACCCAGTGGCTTACACTCACGCCAGGTGTGTGTGCGTGCGTGCCCAAGATCCCAAGAAGGAGAATGGAGGAGAAGGGACTGCAGTGTGGGACTTTCTGGAGAGTGCACGCCCCCTACAGCAAAAACCTCTCCAAAAATAGAAAAAAATCATATTTGTAGACAGTATCCAATTTAGGAAAATGTCCATAATTTAGTGAAAAAGTAGATTTTAAAATAGTGAGCATATGGGGCCAGCAGGTGGTGTAGTGGCACTGGAATTTCACATGGCCAACTGTGGTTCGAGTTCTGGACTCAGTGGCTCGAAACTCATTTCAGGAGAGTGTGTATGTGTACCCAGAATATCAAGAAGAAAATAGAGAGGAGAAAGGATTGCAGCATGGCCATCTCCCCAGGGGCTTCTCACTTTCTGTCTTTCTGTCTCTCCAGAGTGCATGCACCCTATAGCAAAATAAATCACTAAAAAGGAAAAAAGGTGAGCATAGATAGCATCATTACAATAAAGTTTTTCTAGAATAAGGTTATAAATGTGTATTTCTGGATCGCTATTTCCTCTCCACACAAGGAGGACTGTAATAACAGGATTTATTCCACAGCCCTTTGTAAAGAATAAATAAAATAAGATTTAAAAAGCATTTAGTGTTTGGTAAGTTGTGAGTGCCTAATAACTGTTAGCCAACATTATTAACACCAAAACGTGTTTTTTCTCTGGCTGGAAAGCTTGAGATGATTTTTAGTTTCTTCCTTGTGATTTTTCTTAATTTTTTGAATTTTCCAATTTTTGTGCAATAATCATGTACCCACTTTTATAATGAGAAAAAAATTATTTTAATGATAAATTTCATTATTTTCATGGCACCAAACGAAACTGACTATTTTAAGATAAAATAGGCAGGGATGCCAGGGCAAAGTATTAGACAAAGTTCCAAAGGGTCTGGGGTAAAAACTCTGAAAGGCAGTGCCTCAAACATATCTCATCTCTAGTTTGGCTCTAGAAATGCGGACATATTCTGAAGAACACGTAGAAAGCTAGATAAGCTATAGCAGATCCACACTGGAAAGACTGCATTTCATAAATGCAACCCCAGGGAATAACCCGTTCTACCCGCTTAAGATTCATCTCCCACCTCTGACAGATTCACACACTACTTACCTTTATAGAGCTGAACAGAAGGCAGGGGTGATTGCACAGCTTTTTAAGGGCTCCTATACATATTAGATGCGAACTATTTTCTGATAACCCTTGAAGACAAAACCTGACAGCCTGAGAACTCAACAGTTTTCGATAAAGTTCAATCTGTAGTGCTCCTGGTCGGCAGAAGACTACATTTTCTATTTTTGGTGGAAGGTATTTATTTATAACTTCCTGAGTTCTTCTAAGAATAAAGAGTCCAGTGAGGCAAGTAAGTTCAGCTGCTCTTCTCTCTCCTAATTTCTTTTCTTCCTATGGAAAAATAGCAGACTTAAATAAAAGTGTTAGAAACAAAAATACTTTCAGTTAAAGTGAACATTCAAGATTTTATAGTAAAAAACCATTTACTTACTGGTCCCTATCAAAAAAAAATTTTTTTCTTAGAGAGGTATTTTTGCTACAGGGTGTGTGCATTCACCAGAAAGACAGAGAGACAGAGAGACAGAAAACAAGAAATCACCCCCCTCCCCAGGGGGATGGCCACACCGCAATCCTTTCTCCTCCATTCTCCTCTTGGGATCTTGGGCACACACGCACGTGCGCCCGGTGTGAGTTTAAGTCACCGGGTCAGGGACTCAAACAGCGGTTGACTACCTGCGAGTCCAGCGACATAGCCATTATGCCAACTGTTGGTCCCCCTATCAAAATTTTTTTAGCAGAAGAAATACGAGTATGAGGATAGAAAAACAAATCATGATTTCTTTAAATGTTCAGCATAATCACTTAATTAAGTGAAGCCACAGTTTCCAATCTTCATCTGTTTGGCTACTGGCACCATGGAGAACCATCAGGTCAATAATCTACAAACTAAATTATTCCAAAAGTAAGCTTTTACATGAAGACTATGATTCAGTCTTAAAATGAACAGCAAAGAACAGATATGGCAAATTCTTGGAAATAAATACTCTAACAAGTGATTGTTCCTGAAATTAAGCTTATAAGAAATTAGGCCCGAGATATTGTACTTTTTAAATCATTACACATTGTTAATTAAACAATGGTACCTTTTTAAGTCAAAAATACAGTATGAATGAAATACAGAAAGCCCTCATATCTGTGGGTTCTGGATTCACAAAACATAAATAGAAAATATTCCTTTATTGCAAGTGTACCCTATGCAGTAAGGCCTATGGTGGATGGTTGCACCTGCACTAAATGTGCAGACTTCTTTTATCACTATTTCCTAAACAGTAAAGAATAACAACTATTACATAGCATTGTATTAGGTATTAAAAGTAATCTAGAAATTACTTAAAGTATACCAGAAGATCTGCATAGGTTTTATGCACATGTCATTCTATATAAGAAACTTGAGCATTATAGATTTTGGTATCTGAGAAGAGTTCTGGAACTGAATCCCTAGTCAGTGCTGAAGAACAACTCTATGTTTAAATTCCCTTTATAGAGGGCCATTAGGTGGTGTGGTGGTTAAGGCACTGTATTCCCACGTGGCTCAACCAGGTTCAAGTCCCAGACCCAGTAGTTTGAAAATCATCTTGGGTACATGTGCATGCATGCCTAACATCCTAAGAGAAGACTGGAGGAAAAGGGATTGCAGCAAGGCCAACCCCCTTGTGGGGTGATTTATCACTTTCCCTCTCTTTGTCTCTCTCTGGTGAATGCACGTACCCTATGGTCAAAACCTAAAAACAAAGAAAAATTACTTTAATATAGAATCTTTTGCTCCTACAGAACTTCACAATAAAGCTTAAAATAAATCCCACATCAGGGCCAGCAGGTGGCATGGAATTTTAACATGCTAGATTCGAATATGGTCAACTCAACAGTTCAAGTCTCAGATTCAGTAGCCTGAAAATAATGCTGAGCAAATGTGTGAGCATACCAAAAATCTGGAGGGGAATGGAGGAGAAAGGATTGAGGAGTGGCCATTCCCCCAGGGGGAAGGGAGATAGATTTCTCACTTTCTGTCTTTCTCTCTCTCTGTCTCTCTTTGATGAATACACACACTAATAGCAAAACTGAAAAAAAAAAAAAAAAAAGCTCATGTGTATATATTTCTTTCTGTGTAAGTCACAGAAAATTTCCCTTATATTTAAAACAAACTTTTTTAAAGATTTACTTATTCCATTTGATATTGTTAATTTTTACTAAGACCAGAAAGAGACAGAGAGCGAGAGAGAGAAAGGGAAAGCAAGAAAGCAAGCTGCCAGGTTTGGGACTTGAACTGTGGTTGGCCATGTGGGAATCTAGCACCTTTAACCCACCATGCCACCTGCCAGCCCCTTTTAAAACAATTTTTCATCTTGAACAAAGTAATACATCCTGGGTCAGTTGATGGTGTGGTGACTAAGGCAGCTGGATCCCACGTGGTCAGCTGCATCATTCAAATCCTGGACCCAGTGGCCTGAAAACTATAAAGGGCACATGCATGTGAGTGCCCAAAATCCTGAAAGGAGAAATGAAGAAGGGGCTGTACCATTATTTTCCCCTATTGGAGGTGCTTTATCACTTTTTCTCTTTCTTTGTCTTTCTGTTTGATTGTCTCAGGCAAGTTCACATACCCTCTAGCAAATTAAAAGGGAAAAAAAAGTTAATAGATCCATTGAAAGAAAAGTCAGAAAGTATAGCCATATAAAAACAAGAAAATTAAAATCAATTTTAACCAACCAGAAACAATCACTGTTGTTAAGACTTTCATACATATATCTGCTAAGCTTTTTTCTTTGCATAAATATGCTAATGTATTTAATATTTTGATTTTATTTGTAACAAAAACCAGATCTCATATTATAAAGCTTCTTGAAAACAAGAAACTAGTCTGGCTCATCACTGTATTCCTGTCTAGAACTTAGCCTTTGGCCCACTTACGGTGTTCAGCATGTAAGTGTTAGGTAAATATTGACAAGTAAATGTGAATTTACCTTTAGATAAAGGCATGTGTCACTTAACGATGGGAACGTGTTCTGAGAAAAGGATTGTTAGACAATTTCTTCATCTGAACATCAGAGTGTATTTACACAAACCTAAGCGGTACAGTCTACTACACACCTTATTACATACGTAGGCTATATAATGTAATCTTATGGAACTATCATGATATATGAGGTCAGTTGCTGACTAAACGTTGTTACACAGTGTATTACTATATATACCGTGAACACGCTCCATGTTATTAAATACTCACATAAACATTATTTTGTACAGTTCCTGGAACATGGAAAATGCTGACTGAATTTGTTCACAAATTACCATATTAGTCTGGACATATATTTTTCCATACTTTAACTTCTTTGAAACAGGGTGATTGTGGGGACAGCAGAAGACATAATAGTTACATCATTAGACTCCCACATGGTCAACGGTGGTTCAAGTACCGGCCCCATTGGCTTAAAACTCGCACCAGGTGCATGTGTGTGCTTGTCTAAAATTCCAAGAGAAGACTGAAAGAAAAGGGGTCGTGGCATGGCCATCCTCCCGGGGAGGGGGGGGTGCGCGGCGGGGGGGGGGGTGATTTCTTGCTTTCTGTCTCTCTGTCTCTTGGTGAGCACATGTGCCCTACAGCAAAAAAATCTCTAAGAAAAATAAAATAGAATGATTTTTTTAAGAGGTTTTTGCTATAGCGCGCGTGCACTCGCCAGACAGACAGAGACAGAGAGACAGAAAGCGAGAAATCACCCCCCAGGGGGGATGGCCACGCCGCAATCTCTTCTCCTCCATTCTCCTCTCGGGATCTTGGGCATGCACGCACACGCGCCTGGCGTGAATTTTAAGCCACGGGATCTGGGACACGAACTGCGGTTGACTACATGGGAGTCCAGAGACATAGCCATTACGCTAACTGCTGGTCCCAAATAGAACGATTTTTACAATCAATGACTTCTTACAACTATAATTGACAGCATGTTTTCCTTAGTGGCACATAAAATAATCTGTCCTGTAATTGGTAGCATCTAAGATTCAATAAAATGTAATATTTACACAATACGTAGACCGTAATTTAACCATTTCTTACCTTTACAAATATTTATTTCCCATTAGTTTGTATCCTTCAGTTTGTTTCCAATTATTTATCCTTATAGGCAAATAGTTAAACAAATCTGTTTTTTTCTTTATAATAAATTCGTAAAGTAGTACTACCAGGCCATGAGATATACTATGTTTACTCTCATGTATAACTCTTTGTGAAGTAACTATTTGTAAATTTTAGATGAGTAATAACATCATTTTCCAAAATAAAGAATGCAAGAAAAGATGAAAGATTGTGGGGAAAATATAGAGTGTTTACTATTTTCATTAAGGTTTTTGATATAAGTTGCTAAACTTTCCCCAAGTCATACCACTTTATAATCCAGCCAGCAGAGGACAGGATTGTCATCTGCACTTGCTATTACCATTTAAATCCAACCAACTAAAATACTAATAGAAAAGTACAGTTACTTCATGATTATTCTGGTATACTGTTTTCAATATCAGTAAGAATGAATTATTTCTTTATGTTTACTCTCATGTATAACTCTTTGTGAAGTAACTATTTGTAAATTTTAGCTGAGTAATAACATCATTTTCCAAAATAAGGAATGCAGGAAAAGATGAAAGATTCTGGGGAAAATATAGAGTGTTTACTATTTTCATTTTAATTTTTTTCTAAATTTAAATAGTACCCATATTATGGATGTTTTTCCCAGACATAATGCTTTTCTTCTTTTAACTTAATATAAATTATACCTCAGAAGCAGAAGGTTCTCTTGATATAATGATGGGTTCTTCATATATTTTTCTGTAAGATGACAAAGAGCCTAATATTCCTGGATTTACAAAATCAATCAACGCAAAAAATTCTTGCAGATCATTTTGAACTGGAGTGCCTAAAGAGAGACAGATAAAAGTGATAAGGTCAAGTAAGTTTGTTTTATACTCACAGGTTTTTTTGTTTTGTTTGGTTTGGTTTTGCTATTGGGCATATGCACTTGCAGAGAGAGACAGAGTGATAGAAAGAGAAAGCATCTCTAGATGCGGAATGGTCATGCCACAATCCCTTTTACTCCACATTTCCCTCCTTTTCAGGAATTTGGACATGCACACACATGCCTGGTGTGTTTCTCAAGCTACAAGGTCTGGACTTGAACCATGTGGTTGTCCATGTGGGACCTACCTGACCTTAACTTTCAGGCCACAGAGCAAACCCTACAATCATAAATATTTATAGAAATTTGTGCTCTCATCACTAAGAGAAATAAATACCAATGGTTTTCAAAAAGTTCATGGAAAACACATATTATAAAACTATATGTGGATTTCAAATCTTTTGCACCCAAAAACTCAAACATTAATAAATTTTTCTACATACTTACTGAAGTCCTTTTTTTAAAAAATCATTTATTTTTTTTAATTTGATCAGAGAGGGACAGAGTGAGAGAGAAAGAGGGAAAGTGAGAGAGCAAGTCGCCAAGTCAGGGACTCAAACTGCAGCCTGCCATGTGAGAGTCCAGCACCCTTAAACACCACACCACCTGCCGGCTGCCTGAAGTCCTCTTATAAGTAAATTCTTTTAAACTGAGAAAGAGCAGCCAAATCAAGTTTTTTAAAATATTAACATAATCACATACCATTCTTTTCATTTATTTTATTTACATTTAATCACATATATCTTTACAATATACATTTCTTTTTCCAGCACAAATACCATGCATGTGAGTCAAGACAAAGATATAACTATATACATTATCATCATCAAATAACTTCATATTTTTGTCAATTAAACATACTTTTACTTTTTTTCTTTCCCTTTCTCCTCCTTCCCTTCCATACTAAACTTTTTTTTCACATTTTATTGATTGATGAAAGATCTTAAACTAAAATGGACAAAGCTAAAACCTAGTGACAAATGCACTGTAATTTTCTTCTGAAACATTTTTTTTTTCTCTCCATTCCCCCTTTTACTAAAGAGGTATAAGCTAACTCATTTGCAAAAAAGAAAAAAATTAGGTATGTCTCAATTTGGTCTGTTATTTGCACAAAGCCCCATAAGAATTCAATTTCTGGGAGCTTGCAGGTGTTGTGATGGTTAAGAGTGCTGGACTCACACATGGCTGACTACGATTTGAATCTCAGACCTGGCGGCTTACTTTCTTACTTTCTCCCTCTCCCTCCCTCTCTCTCTCTGTCTCTCTCTCTCTCTTACTCTGTCCCTCTCTGGTCAAATTAAAATAGATAAAGTTAAATAAAATAATTCTTAAAAAAAAAAAGAGAATTCAATTTCTGATGCAAGGTAACAGAAACTATTGTATTACTGAAATTATGCAAATAACCATTCTGCCACAAAATAAGAATGCTCACAAATATTTTCTAATCGCAAAGGGGTCAGGAAGGGAGAAAAGTCCATGTTTCGATTTTTAAAAAATTAACAAATTGCTGAACCTATCAACAACTCACAAAAAAAAAAAAATCCTTAAATCTGGAAGACAAAGCATAGAAGAAAATCAGTAATGTTTTAGAGAAAAGTCATAGAATTCTATTTCACCAGTTCAGTCACGTAATCTCTCTTTTGAATTTGCAGCATTACTATGTTCTGATCTTTCCATTTAAATCCTGTAAGTTAACATTCAACATTACTTTTGAACTTGTCCCTACCATTATTAAGTTGGCCTTTTTCTTGGTCATTTTTTGTTCTCTTATTTCTCTCTATCCTCTTTAGTTTTCCTGGTACAGCACTCCTTTCAGAACTTCTCAAAGAGCTGGTCTGGTGTTGGTAAATTCTTTCAGATTTTGTTTATCTGATAATGTCTGGGACTTTCCTCCCCACCCCAATATGAAAGATAATCTTGCCATATATAGTATTCTTGATTGAAATTGTTTTTCACTTAACACTTTGAATATATTTTCCCATTTTCGCACTCTGTTTCTGATGAGAGGTCTGCTGTTAACCTGGTGGAATATCCTTTGTAGGTAACTTAATGTTTCTCTCTTGCCAATCTTAGTATCTTATCTTTGTTAGTATCTTGTCTCTGTCTGTAATTTTGGTCAATCTGGCTATTATGTGACTTGGAGAAGATCATTTTGGGTTGATTCTATGTGGATCCTTTGTATTTCTTGGGTCTGGATATTTGCATGCCTTTCTAGGTTTCAAAAGTTTTCTTCCAGGATTTCATGAAATAGATTATTAATGCCCTGATTGGTTTCTTCACCTTCTGGGATACCAATTATTTAGATACCTGGGCATCTAATGGTATTTAGTATTACTTGTATATTATTCTCATTTTGTGGGGTTATTTTTTCAGTCTTTTTGGCAAATTTTTCTAGGTCAGAGGTTCTGTCTTCTGTATCTGAAATTTGATCTCCTGTATGATCTAATCTGCTTTTAATACTTCCAAGGGAAGCTTTGATTTCCTGTATAACAACCTTCATCTCTAACAGTTCTGTTTGATTTTTTTTAATAGTATGTATTTCCTCTTTCAGATCATGGAAGAACTTCCTCACCTCCTGAACTAGTTGTCTCTTTTCTCCTGCATTTTCTGGAGTTCATTGTCTCTCTTCTTTTGTCTCTCTTGTTAGCTTTGTAACTCTGAATATTCTAAATTTTTTATCTGACATGTCCATAACTTCCATTGTATTCTCTGCAGATGATGAAGGGCTATTCTTTTCCCTTGGAGGAGAAATATTTTCTTGGTTTCTCATATTGCTTGTGCCTCTGCGATGGTTTCTGGTCATCTGATGAATGATATGTTTCTTCCTACTTTCTTGGAGTCAATTCTGAGTGTCAGAGGCATGCAGAAGGAGATGACCCACAATATCTCTGCAGTTCCATTTCTCTGATCCTCACTAAGCAACCTGCACTTCTGTCAATGGAACTGGGTATTACAAAGGCCTGTCACTTTCAGAAGAACAAGCGCACCTAGGCTAGGCTAGGCTGTGGGATTTCAACTAAGAATTCAGAGGTGTGTGAGAGGAAATGAGTTGCACTCTGCAGCTCCATGTTTCTCCCTGCTGCTCACTTTACAGTCTCTCTTCTCTGATTTTTAGTCTCCTCTGATTTTTAGTCATTTGGTGGTACACTCAGGCTTGGCTAATTTACTGGCGATTTCTGCAACTTTAAGCTCGTATGATTCACTTTACTGTGAGATACTTCTATGCCAATTTCTCGACTATGATTTTTTTTTCAACATGGTACCCACAGAAAGGGAATTTTTTTTTTCTCTTTTTGGAGAGATTTCTGCTATAGGGCGCGTATGCTCACCAGACAGAGAGACAGAAAGCGAGAAATCACCCCCAACAGGGGGATGGCAATACTGCATTCCATTCTCCTCTTGGGATCTTGGGCACGCACACACATGTGCCTGGAGTGAGTTTAAGTCACCGGGTCTGGGACTCGAACCACGGTTGACTACATGGGCGTCCAGCGACATAGTCATTACGCTAACTGCTGGTCCCACAACAGAAAGGGATTTGAATTCAGATTTATGAAGGTGAGTTTCTTCCTTTCTGTAGCAGTTCAGTGGGAGCTGAGGTTTTCTATGACCCTAAAAGTATTCAGATGTTTCGCTACTGTGCACCCAGACGTCTAAATAGTCAGTGTGTGCAAGCTGAGAAGCAAGGTGAGAAAAGTCAGGTAAAAGAAAAAGAAACAAAGGAAAAAAGACAAAACCAAACCCAAAATCAAAATCAAAGACAAAAACAAAACAAAACAAAAAACAACAATACAAATGGAAAAAAAATTTTAAAAAATAAAAACCACGAAAGATAAAAACCACGGAGCACACTTGCATGCGATGCAAAAGGAACGGGCTAGGCCTATCTCACATGCACATGGATTCTGAAATCAGCAAAATGAAAGAGAGGTCAGAGATAAGAGATAGTACTTACAGATTTTTAAAATATACATACACATAGAAAAATTTGGAGAGAAAAGGGGAGAGAGAGAAACAGAGACAGGAAGAAGACTGCCCTACCTAGCTTTACTAGGTGACGGTTTGGAAGACGAGGTTTGGAGCAGAGGCTTTTTCAGTTAAAGGACCAGGGCAGGGCCCACCTCAGATGCACATGGACTTTCACTTTCCAAGGTGTTGGGCTAGAAGAACAATCACATACATTTTTAACTCTGATTTTAACTATGTCCCAAATTCTGATGTCATACCGCATAGTAGCTAAGTGCAGACTATGGAGTCTGATTGCTTAAGTTCAGATCTTACCTGCATCACTCCTTGAGTGACTCCAAGCAAGTTACTTACACCAATATATCAGCTATAAAATGGGACCTTAAGAAGTAGTTCCTAGGGTTGTAAGGATCAAAACAGTCAATCTAGGAGCCAGCAGGTGTTGTGGTGGTTAAGGCACTGAATTCCATGTAGGCTGACCACAGTTCAAATTCCAGACATGACAACTTGAAAATCACATGGCGGGGGGGTGGGGGGGGTGACCAGCAGTTAGCATAATGGCTATGTCACTGGACTCCCATGTAGTCGACCGCGGTTCGAGTCCCGGACCCGGTGGCTTAAACTCACGCTAGGCACATGTGCGTGCATGCCCAAGATCCCAAGAGGAGAATGGAGGAGAAGGGATTGCAGCATGGCCATCCCCTCTGGGGAGTGATTTCTCGCTTTCTATCTCTCTGTCTGGCAAGCGCACACGCCCTATAACAAAAACCTCTCCAAAAAAAAAAGAAAAAGAAAAGAAAATCACATTGGGTGTGTGTGTGTATGTGCCCAAAATCCCAAGAGAACGGAGAAGAAGGGACTGAGACATAGCCATACTCCCTGGGGGGTGGTTTCTCATTTTACCTCTCTCTGTCTCTTTCTAGCAAGCATACAAACCCTCTGGCAAAAAAACAAACAGAATACTCAATCTATATAATATACTTAGAAAAGTTCCTAGAACATAATAAATGATCCATAACTTCAGAAAGTTTTATATTATTGTAACTGTGTGACTTCAGGCAAACTGCTTAAGCTCCTTCAGTTAAGCTCAGGGTTTTGGTTTGTTTTTGTAAACAGCTGACCCACAAACAATGTGGTAGTTAAGCGCACCAAGACAATGCATACGCTTCCCGAAGAAAAATCTATCAGGCTGGGGGTAGGGGGGCATAGTCATGCTGCAATCCCTTCTCTTCAATATCTCCCACCTGTCACGATTTTGGGTAGCACACACACGCACTTGCACATACACTCAGTGTGTTTTTCAAGTCACTGAATCCAGAATTCCAACTGCGGTTACCATATGGGATCTGGCTCTCTTAATCACTAGGCTATAGAGCCAGCCCATATGTTTTATTATTTAACATATCTAGTCAGTTCTAAATTTTTAAAAACATCATCAAGAACTACCGTATGATCCAGCAACCACTCCTGGGTTATCTACCCAAAGGACAGGAGAACGCTCAGTCGGAAAAGCACTTGCACAATTATATTTATTACAGCACTATTAGCCATTGCTAAGACATGGAACCAATCCAAATGTTGATAAACGAATGAATGGATTGAAAAAGTGAGGCACATATACGCCATGGAATACTATTCAGCCATAAAAAACAACAAGGCCCTGGAATTTGATAGAAAGTGGACAAATATGGAAGATTTGTTGCTGAGTAAAGCAAGTCAGGCTATGAAAGAGAGACACTGTATGTCTCCACTTAACATATACTGACTGTCCACACTCTATGGTAGACTGAAAGACTGGAGGACATAAAAGCACTAAAAATTGTTGGGGACACTAGAGACAACGTGGAAGAAGAGTGAAGGGGCAAGAAAGGAAATTAGGGGGAAAATATAGAGAAATAAGATATTCGTGGAACACAGATATGGTTTGTTATCTGTTGATGAGGATGTGTATAGTATTCTCAGTTGGACTGAGATGTGTATCATGCTGAGTAAAATCTCTTTACATCTAAATGATGGATAGCAATTGAATGTATAAATAGTAATATAAAAAATCATCAAAAGACTTAGAGAATATATTTACATTGGTATGTATATTAATTCTAAAAGCATGATGATGACAAATAAATATAGGGAGACTAGGAAAGACAAAAAGAAAAGAAGGGAAAGAAAGGTGTAAGGACCATTGTAGTTGGTTTCCAAACATTGATTCAGCCCCAAGTCATTAATCTAAGCCAATCGTGGTAATTCTATCCTCTCCAGTAATAAATGTAGGAAAAGATCTGTTTGGGTTTTTTTTGTTTTGGTTTGGTTTTTTTCTTTTTCTGGAGAGTTTTTTTGCTATAGGGTCCATGCGTTCACCAGAAATACAGAAAGAGACAGAGAGACAGAAAGCAAGAAATCACCCCCCGGGGGGATGGTCACACCGCAATCCCTTCTCCTCCATTCTCTTCTCGGGATCTTGGGCATGCATGCACACGTGCCCGGTGTGAGTTTAAGCCACTGGGTCCGGGACTCGAATCGCGGTTGACTACATGGGAGTCCAGCGACATAGACATTACGCTAACTGCTGGTCCCAGAAAGGATCTGTTTCTTAGGCTGAGTTCTCTGGAAGCATAGCCCAAGAAAGAGATTCGATGGCACACGACTTATGGACAGAGTACTCTCAGAAGAAAGAATAATGGAATCTGAAAATGGCAGGGATGGCTTCATCCTTTAGCTTAAACTAAATTACAGGGAGCTCTAGGGCATAAAATGCACCATAAAGTTAGTCCTGAAATTATCCTAAGGCAAAAGGGCCATCATTTGTTGGCATATCTCTATATTCAATCAAGGATAACTCTCCAGAAAAGGCGAGATCTATGAGTGGTTTAATCAACAGTCACAACAGTTAGGGGTGACTACTAGGTATATCAACCTAAAGAAAGGGAAGATAGGGGGAACCAGCAATTAGTGCAATGGCTATGTCGCTGGACTCCCACATAGTCAACCGCGGTTTGCATCCTGGACCCGGTGGCTTAAAACTCACGCCGGGCACGTGTGCGTGCGTGCCCAAGATCCTGAGAGAATGGAGGAGAAGGGATTGCGGCGTGACCATCCCCTCTGGGGGGTGATTTCTTGCTTTCTGTCTCTATGTCTCTCTCTGTTTGTCTGGCGAGTGCACGCGCCCTATAGCGAAAAAAACCTCTCAAAAAAAAAAAAAAAATGGAAGATAGGAAGGCCAACAAGAAGTTCCAGCAGTAGCACGAGACCCAGGCTGTAAAGTTGGGGAAGGGCTTCTGGGAAAGTTCCTCACTTCCAAAGACAAACAGGAAAAGCCAGTCTTGTTTTCTATAGCACTGGGCTAGATAACAACAGAAAACAAAATAAGAATTTTCTTCATTTAGGGGCCAGATGGTAGTGCAGTGATAAAATGTTGACACTCTATGAGACAATCCCACATGGAAAGGTTTCCATTCAAGCCCAGAGTATGTCCAGCACATGCTTGCAATACCAGACATTAATCACAGCATCAAGACCCTGTTAGGGTGCCCCATCTTTTTCTCTCTTACTTATGGAAGATATAAATAAATAAATAAATAAATAAATAAATAAATAAATAAATAAAATTCCTTCATTTGATTCTTAGTAAATAATCATCTATCATGTACATAGTATTGCACATACTCATAAAAATGTATACTTTCATAATAAGGAAGAAATTGCCTTAGGTCAAACACCTTGTCATTATAAATGCAAACAATTCATTCAGAAAATTCTTTTGTATTTTAGACTTTTACAATAGGACATGTGCACTCACTGGAGAGAGACAAACTGAGAAAGAGGGGAGATCACCCCCCAAACCCCCTTGGCCATGCCACAATTCCTTCTCTTTGACTCTCCCTCAGGATTTGGGGCACACATGTACATGTACCTGGCATGACTCTCAAGCCGCCACGTCTGGAACTCAAACTGCAGAATCAGGCATATGGGATCCAGCGCCTTAACCACCACACCACCAGCTAGCCCCATTCAGATAATTCTAAGAAAGTAAAACTCAAAACTACAGGCATATCTAAATTTATGAGGTTAGTTAGTGCTAGTTTTTTTGCTTTGTTTCATTTTTATCAATTCATAGTTCAGATGTGAGGAGTAGCAAGGACAAGAAAGCAGACACCACCGAAAATTGATGAAGTAAAGACACAAGGGACAATGCTAGCCCATCAAACAAAAACTATTACACTAGTCCCATCAAGACATTCCGTTTAGTGACAGCCAGTGCTATGGCAGTTAAAGCAGCTGGATCCCACATGGGCAACTATATGGTTTGAGTTGCAGACCCAGCAGCTTGAAAACCACACCAGGTATGTGTGTATGCATGCCCTAAATTCCAAAAAGAGCATGGAGGAGAAAGGACTGCAGCATGCCCATTCCCCTGAGGGGTGCTTTCTTATTTTCCCTCCTCTTTCTCTCTCTTGCTCTCTCTCTGGTAAGCCCCAAAGCAAAAAAAAAAAAAAAAAAAAAAAGGACATTCCTTTTAAAGGAAGTTCCAGGATCAATTTTCTACTACAAAGATTACATTTAATTTGTAATAAAAATTAAATTAATAATTCTTTTTCTTAAAGAACTATGTATTTATTTAGTTCCACTTGTTAATTATTATTGCTATTTTGACCAGAGACAGAGAAAGGGAAAAGCAAGAAAGCGATAGGTTTGGAACTCAAACCACAGTCAGTCACATGATAGTCCAGCACCTTAACCACCATGCCACCTGCCGACCATAAATTAGTAATTCTTTATAATTGAATATATTAGTAAAACTGTCCACTTTTGCTAAAGAAAACTATGTGAAGCACAGAGAAGTTACATAACTTGCCCAAACTTACACTGCCATAAATGTCAGACTCAGGCACCAAACACAGGCAGTCTGACCCATCTCCTTTTTTTAAAAAAAAGAATTATTTATTTTTATTTAATTTTATTTGTTATTTTTTTTTTTAATTTGACCAGAGAGATAGAGAGAAAAAGAGAAAGAAAGTGAGAAAGCAAGCCACTGGGTCCAGGACTTGACCATACAGGAGTTCAGCGTCCTAACTACTACACCACCTGATGGTCCCAATCTTCTACAGTCTTTACCTGATACCATCATGTTTATTCCTTAAAAACCCCAAAATTTGGAATGCAGAAAACTACATTAAAGATTTCAAGATTCAGGGAACCAGCAGTTAGCGTAATGGCTATGTCACTGGACTCCCACGTAGTCAACCGCAGTTCGCGTCCCGGACCCGGTGGCTTAAAACTCACGCCAGGCACGTGTGCATGCATGCCCAGGATCCTGAGAGGAGAATGAAAGAGAAGGGATTGTGGCGTGACCAACCCCTCTGGGGGGGTGATTTCTCACTTTCTGTCTCTAATGTCTCTGTCTGTCTGGCAAGTGCACGCGCCCTATAGCGAAAATCTCTCAAAAAAAAAAAAAAAAAAAAAAAAAAAAAGATTTCAAGATTCAGAATCCTGCCAACACTCAGTTAACACAGGTCTATTAGCAGGAATCTCATCCACACCACCAGTTCTTTAAATGCAAGCATCACATTATAAATCTGATATGTTTGCTTGGCAAAAATTTCATCTTTTCAAAAGTGAAAACTGACCAGTTAGAATTATCCTTTTGTCACAAGAAAGGCTAATGAGGGCTGAAGTTGTCTTAATGGCACTGTTCTTCAAACGATGTCCCTCATCACAGATTAGAAGATCAAATTTTATATTCTTAATCTGATCCAAGGAACGGAGTAACATTTCATAACTGATGATAAGAACAGAATAAAATGTAGCTTTGACAAATTCTTCAACTTTGTGGTCCTAAAGGGAGAAAAAGACATTACTTAACCAACGATAAGCAGAAACTATGTGAAATCAAATTTAAGCAGCATGTTCCTGATTCTCACTTACCAGGTATTAGGACATGTGGATTCTGTCTTAGCTCTGGCTACAATTACAACACCACAGACTGGGTGGCTTTAACGACAGACATTTATTTCTCAAAGTTCTGGGCTGAGAAGTCTAAGATCAGAGTGCCAATATGGCCAGGTTCTGGCGAGAGCCCTCTTTCCGGCCTGAAGAGGAATGTCTTCTAACCATATTCTCACGTGGTAAAAAAAAGAAGCCCTAGAATCTTTTCCACCTCTTACAAGGATACTAACCCCAACATGGGGCTCTGCCTGTATGATCTCATCTAACAAAAGCCACAGCTCCTAAAGAGAATTAGGGCTTCAAGATAGGAATCTGCAGGGAGCAGGTGGGGAGCACAAACATTCCATCTGTAACAACTCAAAACCAAAATGTAAACCAAGACTCCCATTTTTATGCAAAGAAGAAACGGAATTAAATGTGCTTGAAAACTATAATATAAAAAGTAAAAACTGAATTATTAATTTGAAAAGACAGAGATTGTTTTAAATGACTAATGCTAGAGTCGGCAGGTGGCATGGTTAAGGGTGCTAGACTCCCACATAGCCAACTGTGGTTTGAGTCCCAGACCTGGTGGCTTGCTTTCCCTCTTTACCTCTCTCTCACTCTGTCCCTCTCTGGCCAAATTAAAATAAAGTCAAATAAAATAATTCATTTTAAAAAAATTACTAAGGCTAAATTGTTAAAAAAAACTTCTTACCTGATCAACAGTAAATATTTTGATCCTTTCACTTCCTAGCCATTTTTGAAATTCTTTCTTCCAGTTATTCACCAAGCTTCCAGGTGTGACAATAAGTGTCTTCTTTATTACTGGCTTTCCTCCTTAGGGTCCCTGACACTGTAGGGTCCAGATGAGTGAAATACATTGCAATGTTTTTCCTAAACCCATTTCATCAGCAAGAATAGCTCCACATCTGCCATTCATTCTGTTAGAAATAATTGTACTCCCTTTAATCACAATAGGAAAATATCTGATGCCCCTAAACTGTGGAGAACTAGAAACTGTTATTTTGTAATTACAACACTATCATTTCACTATGCTGATTTATGACACATCCTTTATGCATCCATGACAATTACTGCTATTACATATTGTCAACTAAATTACCAAAACATAAATCTAATATTAGAGAGTTGAATCTAAATTATTTGTTACAGTTATATGTAATATTTGAAGACTAGAAACAATCCCAATTCTATTTCTACATTTGGATCATTTAACTGTGTTTCTCATCAGTAATAGTTAAACAATTTGTATCAGTTTCACTATTAAGTACCAAAACAGTTTAAAATATATTGTAATTTTAAAGATCTAAAGAGATGGGCCAGCCCAGCAGCCTAGTGGCTTAGGAAGCCAGGTCAGGGCTTGACCAGAGCTCAAATCCGAGCCCTGGAGGCTTGAAAAAAATGCCAGGCACAAGCGCATGCGTGCCGCAAGTCCCAACAGGGTGGAAAACAGAGAAGGGATGGCAGTATAACCACACTCCACTGGAGGGTGCTTTCTCCCTTGTTCTGTTTGTGTGTGTGTCTCTCCCGCGTTGTGGCAAGTGCACACGCCTTCTGGCAATTAGAAAGGAAAAGACCTATTGAGCTATATTTATAATTCTCTGGCAGTAAATGAAATCCTCTACCAAAATAGCTCCCAGTACTGTTAAAAAAAAAAAAATACTAAATATTTGACCTAATATAAGTAATTCAGTAACAGTAACAGTCTGTTATCCCACAATTCTACTAAGTTAGTGCAATTTAAAATTAACTATTAGGAATATTTGTAATAAGAACATGCATTTTTATGACATTTTATATTTTTAAAGTATTTACATAAAGTTTCCAAAAGTTTAAAAAGTCCAAGGAAATTAAGAATATACCCAAACTATAGCCCAGCAGATGACATACCAGTTATGTTGCTGGACTCCCACATGGCCAACCACAGTTTGAGTCCTGGAACTGGTGGCTTAAAACTCATGTCAGGCATATATGCATGAGTGCCCAAGATCCTGGGAGAATGGAGGAGAAGGGATTGCGGCATGCCCATCCCCCCTGGAGGTGATTTCTTACCTTCTCTGTCTCTGTCCCTCTGGCGAGTGCAAACACCCTATAGCAAAAAATCTCTCTCGGGAAAAAAAAAAAAAAAAAAAAAAAAGGTTGTTAAGGAGACAGTGTTCCTTTACTGTACATTCAAGGGGTTCTCAAAACTGAAAGAAAATTTCGTTTTACAATTTTAACAAATTTAAGAAATTTGTTAATTCAAAATCAAGGGATTATACATCTATAAGCAAGGCAATAAATAAATAAAGATAAGAAAGAGCTGGAAGGAAATATACCAAGATATGATTTAAAAAGGCCTTTGATTCTATTTTCTTTTTCTGTTTCTTATTTGCTTGCTATCTTCCAAAATATTTAAGAAAGATATTACTGAGGTCAGCAGACCGTGTTGAAGTTAAAGTGGCTGGATCCCATGTGGTTTGAGTCAGACTGACTCAGCTGCTTGAAAATCACAGAGTGCATGCAAGCCCAAAATCCTGAAAAGACTAAAGAAGGGACTGTGGCATGACCATCCTCCCAAACCCCCCGGGGGGGTGGATTTCTCTCACTTTCCCTCTTTCTTTCTGTCAGGCACACATACACTACAGCAAAACTAAAAGAAAAAAAAACTATTATTTGGTTTTTCTCTCTTAGGAAAAAAACAAAATCTATTTCTTACCATGCTTTGTAGAATACTTGAAATAAAAACATGAGGGTGCCAGCAGGTGGCGTGGTGGTTAGGGCTCTGGGCTCTCACCTGGCTGACCGCAGTTAAGTCCCAGGCCTCTGTGTCTCTCTCTGTTCAAATTAAAGTAATAATAATGATGATGATGAATAAAAAATTTATGTTCTGGGACCAGCAGTTAGCATAATGGCTATGTCGCTGGACTTCCACATAGTCGATCACAGTTCGAGTCCCAGACCCGGTGGCTTAAAATCAAGCTGGGCGCGCGTGTGTGCGTGCCCAAGATCCCGAGAGGAGAATGGAGGAGAAGGGACTGAGGCGTGGCCATCCTCTCTGGGGGGTGATTTCTCACTGTCTATCTTTCCTATAGCAAAAATCTCTCAAAAAAATAAAATAAAATAAAATTTAAAAAAATTAAAAATAAAAAAATAATAAAAAATTTATGTTTTTAAAAAAGAAAAATATGAATAGAGACCAGCAGATGGCGTAATGGTTATATCGCTGGACTCCTATGAAGTTGACCACAGTTCAACCAGACCAGACCCAGTGGCTTAAAATTCACACTGGGTGTGTGTGCATGCATGCATGCTGTCTCTCTGTCTCTACAACAAACCCACGCATCCTATAGCAAAAACCTCTCTGAAAAAAAAAAAAAAAAGAAAAGAAAAGAAAGAAAGAAAGAAAAAGAAAAAAGAAAAAAGTTAATAAAACTAGCCCTGAATGGGGCTGGCAGGTGGTGTGGTGATAAAGGTGCTAGACTCCCACATGGCTGACCACGGCTCAAGTCCTGGAACTGGTGGCTTCCTTTCTCACTTTCCCTCTCTCTCTTTCTCTGTCTCTCTCTGATCAAACTGGAAAGTAATACTAATAAATAAAGTTAAATAAAATAATAGTTAAAAAAAAAAAACTAGCCCTGATTAAATCATCTGAGTGATGATTATACAAACAACAAACATTTATACATTACTACCAACCATTTACTTTTCTAAATTTGTCTTTGTAGCAACTCATTTCAAGCCACTTTATTGGGTGGATATTATAATTACTCATGATAATAAGAGATGAGTAATTTGAAGCACAGAGGTGTTAAGTAACTTGCCTAGGATCACACAGTGTAGTAAGTGAGGAACTAGGATCTAGTTTTAGAGCCTGCTTTTAAATTCATTTTTCTTTCTCATTAATGGTCTATTTGAAAATGATTCATTTAAAGATTCTATACTCAATGATTATTTAGATGAAAGAATCTAAGAACAATATGTCTTTTACTAGGCATCCTATTAATAATCAAAAATACAAAAATATTTTTCATTCTTCACAAGACTATGGCTCAAGAATTTATGAGGTCAGTTAAGTGGTATTGAAATCAACCACACCTTCTAACCTAAATATGGTTTAGGCACATAAAGTCCAGGAGGCAGGGGTCGGCAGGTGGCATGGTGCTTAAAGGCACTGGACTTCCACGTGGCCAACCATGTTCAAGTCTCAAACCTAGTGGATGGCTTTCTCACTCTCCCTCTCTCTCTTTGTCTCTCTCTGATCAAACTGGAAAATAATAATAATAATAATAAATAAAGCTAAATTAAATAATTATTTAAAAAGAAGAAGCAAGCATTTATAAAAAAATATAGTCCACAGTAGTTTATAAAAGCTAAAATAAAAGTTTTAGTTCACTAGACACCAAATTCACAAGTAATTTTCTTTAGAACAGTAACATTAATAAAATTTCAGCACTTTTTTTCAAACATTTGGGAAATTTTAAATGGGCAGCTATGATATGCATATTTTACAAAATTTATTAAAAGATGAACATTCACAGTATTATAACTCTAATAAATTATCAATAACTTAGCTATATTCTTTTCTGTTCCTCGGAGATATGGATAGATAATTTCCACATAACTGAAGTTGATGTAAGGAAAATAGGCTTCTATTTTGTGTGATATAACATGAAAAATGCTTATGCTATAGTTGAAAAAACTTTTTATAAGATAGATTTTTGTTATAGGGTATGTGCACTCACCAGAGAGAGAGAAAGAGAAAAAGAAAGTAAGAAATCACCCCCTGGCGGGGTGGCCAAACCACAATCACTTCTCCTCCATTCTCCTCTTGGGATCTGGGGCACACATGCACACACGCCTGGCATGGGTTTTTAAACTGCTAGGTTCAGGATTGGAATTGCAGTTGACTATGTGGGAGTCCAGCAATTTAACCATCACGCCATCTGCTGGCCCCTGTAGTTGTAATTTTGATTAAAGTGCTGTGGAACCAGCAGATGGCATAATGGTAACATCACTGGACTTCCACGTAGTTGACCAGGTTTCAAGTCCGAGACCTGGTAGCTTAAAATTCACACCAGACACGTGTGCATGTGTGTCCAAGATCACAAGAGGAGAATGGAGAATAGGAATTTTGGTGTGGCCCTCCCCTCTGGGGCGTGTTTTCTCGCTTTCTGTCTGTCTCTCTCTGATGAGTGTACATACCCTATAGCAAAAATCTCTCTCAAAAAAAATAAAGGCTGCGGAACCAGCAGTTAGCATAATGGCTATGTCGCTGGACTCCCACGTAGTCAACTGTGGTTCGCGTCCTGGACCCGGTGGCTTAAAACTCACGCCGGGCGCGTGTGCATGTGTACCCAAGATCCCGAGAGGAGAATGGAGGAGAAGGGATTGTGGCATGACCATGCCCCCTGGGGGGTGCTTTCTCGCTTTCTGTCTCTATGTTTCTCTGTCTGGCTGGCAAGCGCACGCGCCCTATAGCAAAAATCTCTCCAAAGAAAAAAATAAATAAAAAATAAAGGCTCAAGAATCTAAACATAAAGCCTCAAGATATAAAACTACTAGTGGAAAACACAGAGGGAAACTCTCAGAGACATCAGAGTTGGCAGACTTCTTTCTTTACTTTGAATCTAGATAGTTTTTCATTTTTCCTTCTATTTTGAGAAATATTAGAACAAACATATTTTTTTAAGAGAAATTTATGCTATAGGGTGTGTGTACTCACTGGAGAGATAAAGAGAAACAGAGAGACTGAAATTGAGAAATCACCCCCCCAGGGAGGATGGCCATACCACAGTCCCTTCTCCCCTCAGGTTTTTGGGCACAAGCACACGTGTACCTGGCATTAGTTTTAAGCCACCAGGTCTGGGAATCCAACTGTGGTCAACTAACGTGGGAGTCCAGGCCTTAACCATTATGCCATCTGCTGGTCCCTAGAATACTTCTTTAAAGGAATTTACAGAGGGAAGATTAGGGGTCAAACTATATAAATAATTTCCCTTCCAAAGGCACACACACTATTTTCTTTCATAAGGGATCCATTTTACTAGTAAGGTACATGTTGCTCTATACTTCATTCCAAAAAAGGAAAATCTGTTGTTCAAACTTTTCATCCTCACAATATTTCAACACAGAGAATTTCTCATAGACAACTCTTATTAATACAGTTTTTACCAATATTGTGGTTATACAGCTCAGGATCAAATAGGGATTACAGCGAGGTCATACCCCCCGGGAGTTATTTCTCACTTTTCCTCTCTCTGTCTCTTATCAGTCTCTTATCTGTCTCTCTCTCCAGTGAGAATACGTGCCCTATGTGTAAATCTGAAGACTAGGGCCTGGTCTCAGCAGCCCTCCTCTCACAAGTGCACCCCCAGCCCCTGGGAGCAACTCCATAACTTGCAGTGACTGCCTGGCGCCCCAGTGTCTGGGTTTGGCCCACCCACTGGGAGACCTAGACCTGGTCTTGGCAGTCCTTCTCCCACAAGTGCATCCCCAGGCCCTGGGAGCAACTATTACTATTCTTTAATCAGAGAATTCCATTTAAAAAGGAAGGGGGAGGAACCAGCAGTTAGCATAATGGCTATGTCACTGGACTCCCACGTAGTCGACTGCGGTTCGCGTCCCGGACCCGGTGGCTTAAAACTCACACCGGGTGCATGTGCATGCGTGCCCAAGATCCCGAGAGGAGAATGGAGGAGAAGGGATTGCGGTGTGACCATCCCCCCTGGGGGGTGATTTCTCGCTTTCTGTCTCTATGTCTCTCTCTCTGTCTGTCTGGCGAGCGCACATGCCCT